CCATGGGTGGCTGGTAGGAACAGCAGCAGACAGCCAACAGGGTGGCTGGCAGGAGCAGTGACAGAATGCCAGTGGGGTGGTTTGTGGGAGTAGCAGCGAGTGGCCAATGGAGTGGGTGAGATGTTTCCTATCCCCGCCCCCCAAGGGTGGGAGGTGAGCTCTTAAAATCACTTCTGAGCTCTGATCTGCCCTGACCAAGGGCAGCAACAGTGAGTGGGTACAGAGAAAGGTTGGGCATGTGAATGGGACACTTACATTGCTGGACTTGTGGCCTGAGAAGCTAAGGAATTGCTCAATCTATTTGAGTTGGGACGTTTACTTGTGGTTTGCTTATGAACTCTGTTTGTGGTATTGTCCCAAGTTAATGCCATGTTACTTCTCTCCCTCTTTCATTAAAAATGTCTTTACTAGGCTCAGACTCTGCGCTTGCAAGTGGGGAAGCATTGCCTCTCAGAGGCACCCAGCGGTGTATGTGGATTTCCCAGGCTACTGGGCGGGAGCTTGAGCCAGATTTGTGTGAGATGGATGAAAAGGAACCCCTAGATCAGTATTTCTTAAAGTGTGTTCCGTGGTTCACTGGAACAAGAGACAAGCCCCTCCCCCCCTTTTTTGGTTAACTTTTCTCGGGGGCTTTTTTTTTTTTTTGGTCAACAACTTTTCCCTGGGAAATGGCCGCCCTTAAAGGGGCAAACCTCCTTTTTTTTTATCAACAACTTTTCCCTGGGGACTCTTTTTTTTCTCAACAAAAAAATCCCCATAAAAAATTATTGCTTGGTGTTCTTCGGTCTTAAAAATTTTAAGAAACACTGCCCTAGATATTGAACCCAGTTCTGGCTGCTGCCGGAGCTACCTGGCAGAAGGGCTATACATATAAAACATGCCACGGGAGGAAAGGTTCTGATCTGCTGAAGGTCATTTTTTCTATCTAAATATGTAGAGTATCAATGCATAGGAAATTATAAGAATTGTGTTGTATGGTGTAGCCAGACACAAACCCCATCTTGTTTTTCCATGAACCCCATCTTGTTCCCCGCCCCCAGAGAGCAAGAGAAAGGCAGTCAGCCTTTGATGCCCTGGGAATGCAGGTGTGCTGCCTGTCCCTGACTCTACCATAAACAGAAACCAGACAGTAAATGGGCTAGCTGACGACCCGGGGCCTCCCGTCACCCGGATGGCTAGTACCAGTAATTGACACGCCTGCACTGTCCCAGGAGAGGAATCTTCGCCCATCACATACCAGAGGTGCCCATTGTCTGCATTTTCCCAGGTGTAAATTATGCTTTGCACCCTTCGTGGGAAACTTGGCATTCAAAGCCATTTTTCCTAATTGGCCACTTGAAACCAGGAAGAAGCCTACATGACCCAAGGGGTATAAAAAGAGGTTCAGCCGCCCACCCCATTTGAGCTCCAATCATCTATACCTGCTGGCAGGTATTGATTGTCTCCCGAGGTCTGTGGGACGCCCAACCTCGCCCTACTTCTTCCCGAGGGATTGAGAGAAAGACACTGGCCACGCCAAGTCTGGAACGCAGGGGTGAGAATATATACCTGCTATGTGTCTATTTTGCATGCATTTAATAAGAGCTCAGAGAACCAAAGGGTTTCATGGTACCTGTAAGTGACTTATTAGTGTAATTTCTGTCCTGTCCTTTGTAGTGTCTGTGTTATCTGTAACACAGTAGTAGCATTTAACAACTAAGTTTACCCTGTAACAATAAAATAGTAACTGTTTAAGCTTTAACCTGACTCCTTCAGTTGCTGTAACAGAACCAAGCACAATTTAAAAAAAACTTCAGCCGGTCATAAGGGACTCAATGCCCTGACCGTCGGCTGACATGCCCCTACTGTCTCTCTAACCACCTCTCCATCCAGGGCTTAAAATCCATCCCCCAGGTTACCACAGCTGCGTAACTGCAGCCAAAATCTGAGGTGTTATAAGCTCTCTCTATAAAACTTATTGGGGTGCCCGTCAACCTCCTCCAGGTTGCCCACTGCAAGGGACCCCGGTCTCAGCAGTTGAAGTCTCGGGTGTATAGCGCACACACAACTCGGGGCATCTAAGAGCCTGTTGGCTGCCCTCTGCGACAGGACCCCGGTCCTAGCAGTAAAGTCACAGACGTTAAACTATTTTTCGGGGAGCCCTCCAGCCTCCTAGGCTGCCCACTGCAACGAGACTTTGTGTCTCAGCAGTTGAAGACTTGGGTGTAACACACACGCACACACTGCCCTGACCGTCGGCTGACATATGGAGGTCACAAAAATATGCTGTGGGTTTGGGAGATGCCCAGATACCAGCTCTACAGAGATAATGGGGTTGTCTAAAGAAAGCTGAAATAGCAACTCCTTTCAAATCACTGAGAGCTCTGATCTACACTACAGGTTATTTAATTATAAATAACATCTCTTCGGGTGGGGAGGGGGGTAGGTGAATAATCCACACCCCTGAGCAATGTAAGTTACCTCAACTTTAGCACTGGGATAGACATAGCGAGGATTCGAGGATTATGAAGCTCTCTCCTGACAACTGACAATGTCTTCCCACAAGTGCTACAGTGGCGCATCGCAAAATGGTGTTGTGTAAATATAGCTGGAGACTGGGGACAGAAAATTGCAGGGAGGATTTAGGGAGGCAGCAAGTAATTCCAGATTGCAGCTTTGCCGGGATCCAGGTACTAAATACAGTGGGAGTGCCCATCCCTTTCGCTATGACTCCCACCCCTGTTACTAACGCACCAGGAACTTCCAGAGCTAACAGCAAGGAGCTGAAGAGCACAGGCTCTGTAACTATAACACACGCTCAGCAGTGTGGCTTACACAGGATCTTCCAAAGACCATTGGGGGTGGGGGCTTCTCTACTTTACAGAGAAGATCGATGCTTTCAAGACCTCAGAGTTTCCTTCCCTACCGCTCACTTTGGTTTTTCCCTCACCCTTTTAACAGTTCCCTTTTTAGAAATTAATTTGCATTACAATACACCAGCAACCTGTCTGGCACTGGCAAAGTCCCATCCCTAAAAAACGTTCTCCACGACTGATCCAGAGAGGGAAAGGACACAAGTGGCGGCAGAACTGGGACTAAAATCTTGGGATCCTGCCTCCTGAACCCCTGCCCTAAACCAGGCTCTTTAATGATAGAGAACTTGCCACCCAAGCCGTAGTCTAGACAGCAACAAAGAAAGCAACTCACCCCTGGCTTCTGTCCTGACAAGTTCCCAAGACAAGTGCTCTAGCAAGTTGCACTGAAGTGGCTGAGAGCACAAGGAAAAACAACTGATGGGAAACAGGAGGAGGGCAAAGATATGGGGAGTGGATTTCACCAACCTCTTGGCCAATTATTTCCTAACCTAGCCAATTAGCCCGCAGACGGGATTTTCAGGTCTCTCCTCCACGTCAGTCTTCTCTCCTGAGCCTCTGGTCTCTCACTCTGTCTCTCTCTCCTCCACCTACTGCCTCTCTCTCTGTCTCTCTCTTTCACTTCTTCTCCCCCTCCTGCCTCTCCCTTGTGGGACCACGGAGCCCAAATGGCCTTTTGGGCTCTGCACTGCCCGTACTACATGGGGGGCGTGGAGCCCAAACGGTCGCTTGTGCTGCTTGCTCCCCCACAGCGGCCTGGCTGAGCGGCGCAGAAATCAGCCGAGCTCCACGGCGGGAGGTGAAGGGGGGAGGGATGGCCCTCAGAGTTCCTCAGAGGCCCTCAGAGTTCTGCCTGGTAGGTACATCAGCTCCAGCGTCGTCTCCCCCACCCCCTTGCATGTCCTGCAGGGCACAGGAGCACATGCAGAGCCACCAGTCTCCATCCTCCACTTCTCCACAAGCTCCCTTTGCCATGGGGCCATTGCCTAGGCTGACAGGACATCAGTAATCACAACGAGCGTCAAAGAGAAAAAACAGGTTTAGCCGCACAGCGCCCATTGATACCAACATGCCGCCAAAGAAACCTCGCCCAGACACACACACTTTGGTGCATCACCAAGGCCCCCAGACTTTTCTCTCTCTCTCTCACACACACACACACACACACACACACACACACACACACACACACTGATAGAGGCTCCGTTAGGGTAGGACCAGCTGTGCTGTGCTGCAGGTACTCCCTGCGAAGAGGGAGGAGGTTTTGGGAACCGGCCGGCCTCGGAAGAAAAGGGAACCTGCAGGAGTAGGGAGAAGCCCCCAGTTCGCCTGAGTGAATCCAAGAACCACGTGAGCTTTGTCAAAGGAACAGAATTTAGCAGTGAGGGGGTGGACTATTCCCTGGCTCTCAGCGCTAGGTGCTGCCCGTAGACAGGCTAACCGCAGTGTCACGATCCCATCTCAGCGATCGGTTGTAGTGACTGTCAGGGCGTCAGCGGACCCAACTTTTCCTGACATTGTTTACGAGGCACTGAGCATTGGCAATGCCAAGAGCCTTCACTGGGACTTGCAGGGCTCATCGGGGCCCCGATCCTGATTGTCCCCACGCCAGGGATGACGATTCCGTGCAACCGAGGGGAGCCTGGCATGAGCTCCAGCAGGCTCACCATATTCCCAGGGGGCCGGGGAGCAGGGACTGGAGAGTGGGAAATGTTTCTTCTGATGGGAATATGCTGATTCTATGATTTGAAGCTAGATAAAGAAACAAAATTCTGTATCCCTGCTGGGGATGAAACCTGCCGCTGCTTGATTCGCAGACAGCATCATGGGTGGGGGGTACTATAGGTGGGCCGGCTGTGTGGCTGCCTGGCTGCTCCTGGGGCTGGGGCCTTAGTGCAGCTGCCTGACTGTTCCCTGTGCCGGAGCTGGGACCGGTGCCATGATGCAACTGTCCTCAGAGCCTGAGCAAGGGGTGTGTGGGGAGAGCTAGTGCATTGCAGACATTCGCTGCCACAGAGACAATATTTGGTCACACAATACTCTCGGCCTCACAGTCTCAGCATGCGAAACTCCCACCTCCTGCTACGAACGCTGCTTCGTAATCACGGAAGGTGGAGCACCCCCAGGGACACTCCTCGAAGAAGTAGGGAAGGTTACTCACCCGTGTAGTAACTGGAGTTCTTCGAGATGGTTGTCCCTGTGGGTGCTCCACCACCCACCCTGCACCCCTCTGCTTCAGAACACCACATGTCCAGGGCAGAGAAGGAACTGAGAAGGGGGGGCGGGCAGCCACACACGCACAGTATCCTGCTCAGAACACACACTGGCTCCCTGCGCGCCTGGCCAGACAGGGGTACTGCTATCAAAATCTCCATCCTCGGGATCAGCGGTGCTGAAGCACCTAAGGTGGAGCACCCACGGGGACAAACATCTCGAAGAACTCCAGTTACCTACACAGGTGAGTAAGATTCCCTTGTAGTGTATGTGGCCATACAGGTATGTATGGTATATATTACCTTATAGCCAAGCATAATCATATTATATATATATATATATATACACACACACACACCCAGGGCTTGACAAACCACGGCGCGAGCCACTCGCCAGCCCCGCACTGCAAATGCGCCAGACCGGCACTGTGCATGCGCGAAGCACCAGTGAATGGGGCTCACGGAGCGACCGGCTGAAATCTACTCGCCACGGGCAAGTAGATTTAGCAGTTTGTCAAGCCCTGTAGATTAGATATAGATATAGATATAGATATAGATATGTGATTAGCCTGGCCCTTTTAAATTTAGTATAAGCTTTGTTAGGCAGGAAACAGGAATAGCTAGCTTTCCAGATCAGCAGTTGGGGTCACCAATGTAGTAGTTCAGGATAGCGATACAGGAAAGTCAGGATTCACTGGTGTGATGTCTTGACAGACCTCATGCTCCATCAACAATAAGAAATGCGTGGCGGTGTGTGTTTTCGTACGCTCCCACAGTATATTGTGCCAGCTCTGTGCAGGTGCCTTGTATAATAGACTTCAATTACAGTGGAATACATTAAGCGTAGCGCAGTTGCTGGAGTGACTTCAAGGTGAAACTCTAGCTCATGAGGTGACAACCAGACACATGTACCTGCTTCTCGCTGCTGACAAGCCAGACGCTCACCTGCTGTAAATCGACTCAACTCCGTTCAGTTGAATAGAGCCATGCCAATTACACCCACTGAGGTCCTGGCCCTAGAAAGCTGGGAAATTCTTGGAAATTAGGCATCTTGCAAGATCCGTCCATTTCCCCGATTTTGTACCCAGTCTGAGTCCCACTGGCTTTAATTTCACCATAGCCCATGACAATCTCACCCCTAATGCTGTCCCTGCAAGGTGGCCATTCCTTGAAATCTCTAGGTGTGTTCTGGGTCAATGTCAGAGTCCTCCATGGTCTGAGAGAGGGAGGAGTGGAATGAGCTGATGATATGCAGCAGCTGCTCAGAGCTGGGAGCATTTCATGCCAACTGTGTCCAGGTATAAATGGCTGTATGAAGTGCAAAGAGATGGAACATCACCATCCTTGGACTTTCTCTCCCTGCACATACCCCACCCACACTCATAATGGCCCTACCTGGCACAGAAGTGGAGAGAAGAGTGCTAAGTCCACTTGAAGCTTTGTCTCAGTAAATGACTCAAGGGCGGAAGTCCCACTGGTTGGGATCTGCGTCCCACCTCTGTCTTGTACACCGGCCGTGTCATTTCTGGTCCGCGATTCATTATGCAGCACGAAGGCAAACAAATAACCAGTCACTCCCAGGGATTGAGACCATCCGGCGCATCTCACAACTGCTTCATAGAATCCTAGAACACTAGAACTGGAAGGGCATCGAGTCCAGTCCCCTGCCCTCATGGACAGTCAGGCTTGCTGTTGCCTTTGTTAGCTCAGTGATTTTGGGACACTGGCTACGGGGCGTGGGGGGAGCGGACGGTCGCACAGCTGCTCCATCTGCAGTGCCTGCAGTGTACCTGCTTGCCACGCCACTGTGCTTAGGAGACGCTTCATCCTCTCCCTGTTCCTCTGATCATCCAGTTCTCTGTGTTCAGCAATAGCGTAACTCCGGACCTCACCCAGAACTCCTCTCGGCCTTTGTGGGCGCTTTCTGGCATTTTTAGATCTCTCCGCAGGTGACAAGCCCTCGAGCTGTCATTCCAAGGTCTATCAAGGCACAATAGCAACGTTACAGAGGGTTCATTGTTAACAGTAGCTACCGCCCAGCCTCACCCCTTTGAAACACCCACACTGTTCAGAAGCTATCAATGGTGAATTCATCATCAGGGCAGGAGGCTCCCTTGCGGTAGCACATTAGCTCTGACATCCTGTCTGTGCTTTGGAACCTTCTGTTTCAATGCAAGGCGTTGAGCATGCGTTTGCACTCAAGATACATAACTTCTTAGATTGGTTCTGCACATCCATTCTGCAGTGATTATAACTAGTGGGCTACTGGATTTCAGTAGGGACCTTACATGCCATTGTAGGAGAAAGAAAGAGCCTGGAGCATGAGCCGGGGGTAAGGTCTGGGGTCTGAACCAAAATAAAGCAAGAGTTACTCTATGAGTAGCTAGAAGCCCCTCTCAAAAGCAGGTGTTTGCCTGGCCGGCAATGTGCAGGACATGAACTGGGCACTACAGCTGCTAGCACTGCAGAGACACACGGAACATGTCAGTACATTCCACCAGCACAGTCCAAGGACACCTCAACCTGGCACATGATACAATGGTTTGACAAAAGTGATGACTAGGGATATTTTGTCTGAAGTATCAGGTGCGCACTCACGATAACAGGCGGTGAATAGGAACGCGTCTGAAATGGAAGGAGGAAAGTACAAGGGGGGGAACAAACATGGAATGAAACACGTAAGAAGATGAAATAGTTTGACAAAAATGTTGAGTAAGTAGGAAACATGCATAGCGGAGTGAGTACAATTTACTGGCAACTATTACTATACTTTGTTTCACAATAATCCTGACTCCGGTGCCTTCATTCCTTATCTGACTCTTTGGCCCATGGGGGCTGGCATTTTAAAAAAAAAAATTCTTTGTTTTATTGTGAATAGTCATGAATAAAATTCTAGAGCCTTTTATTTTAATTGTAAGTTTATCCTATCTGTCATGTATCTTGTGCTGTATTGTATGCTGTGTGTCACATGACTACTTTTTATTGCTTTTGCCTTGTTGCAACATCAATCAATTTTATACCCTTTTGAAAGAAAACTATACATAGTAGCATGCTATTTTGATATCATGGTTTTCGTATAAACTTACTATTATTGATACCTTTTTTCTCAAAGTTAAAGAAGGCCTGAGATATAAATATATGTGCATATATTGCTTCTTTAACAAATAATACAATTGCAAACAAAAA